CCGAATACTAATAGAGGTGACTACTGAAACTCTTACCAGTCGACAGTTTCAAGACCCAAAATGATCATTTGAAGTGTGTGAAAGCTGATTCAAACACCCCTAGTAATTAAAAAAAAAAAAAAACTTTTAATCAATTATCTTATACCGATTCTTCTAGATAAATATCGTAAGCAGCAAACTATTAGCCTCAAAGCGTGAAATTCATGTGGGAAATTTGAGTGATAGCTGTGTTTAATTTAGTGTACAAGTTGGACTTGTTCTTCACAATTACTTGTTATAAATTGAAAGCAATTTGACTTAACTAATCTGGGTTTGTGAGATTAATTACTTTATTTAAGCCAATTGGCCAATTTGGTTTCAAATGAAACTTACATTGAACTTGATCTCCTTCCACAAAAAAAAAAATCAACATAAGTATGATAAATAATATCTTTAAGAAATTAAATTAAAATAAAAAAAGAGAATGAAAAGTAGCACTTATCTTCTTGCTGTATATAATTTATATTAGAATAGTGAAAGTGCTTGTAATCAATAAATTAATCTCAATGTCGCCTTGTATACATGTTATATATATTTAAAATCTTTTAATATAAAATAGCATGTGATACATGAATCCAAAAACTTATTGTAAAATAAAGACGTAAGAATATGCAAATTTATATACAAATTCTTAGATGTAGACGTAGTAAAATGTGTGAATATTTTTATTTTTTCTTGCTCCATTCTTTATGTTTGGATTTCATGTGAATGCAGTAAAATTTTAGGATTCTCGATATAAGAAATTTTGATTAAATTCTTATCTTTTAGATTGATCGATAAGAAATAAACAATACACATATTTACAAATCATCAGTTCAACACCGATGGTGACAAAACGTTAATCAGTGACAATAAACATGATTTAGGTATATTATGAAATATTTTTAAGGTTTTATATGAATTGAATCGAGAAAGATTGAGTTTATGATTAATTTAATATTCCATAATCATCGAACTTTCACTGTATGATCATACTTTAGCCTTGATTTCAACCAATATAACAATCTATTGAAGCTTTTTAGGTGGTTGTACGTAATTTGGAATTTTTTAATATATAAACTCAAAAATTAAATTAAAAAACAAAATTATGAATTTTGTAACCCTACTTGTGGGGGCATGAGAGGGTCAATCAAATAAACAAAAAGACAAAAAAAATTAAAAAAAAAAAAGTTGAAGCATATGGCTAGGGACCCAATATGTATCATTATTTTAGAAGCCAACTGCACCAGAAATAACCTGTACTGCATACATGCGTTTCTCCTCTTCTCTAATTAATATTTTTATTCTTTTTTGTCTTCGATTGTTCCTTATTCCATTACCAATAATCAATAAGAATCTAAAGCATAAAGTATATTATTAATCACTAATCCAATAATATCATCCAATTATAGTCTTTAAAATATCTAAGTTATATCAAAATAATTATAAGATATTTTAAGCAAGAAGTAAGTTCAATCACATATGATTTAACACTTTTAACACCCGTCAATCCAACTACATATAATTTAACTTCTAACATCAGTCATCATTGCCTTAAACGTGACTCTAATATCATGTTTAATTTAAAATCTAACTTCGGTCATCATCGTTCCAAACATGATATATTATGATAAACAGGTTTGAATAGAACCCATTCTTAAAAATTAGTTTAAGGGAGAAGATAGTCTAATCACGTATATATATTATAACAGTTTATCAAATTAATGATATGGAACAAATTCAACTTCTACTGATCATTCAGAATCTAATCCCATATTAAAAAATCTCAGAGTTCACTCACAGTTCACGCTTTGAAATCAATCCTCTTTCTTAATAATTGTTGAACTTACGCTCTCTGCAGTGCAAAGTGCAAACCTGCTAGTAGTGGCCAAGTAATGAAATTAGAGAAGACTAATTAATTAATAATAATAATAATTAATTAGTGGGTAATTTGGTTTTTGTCTGTGGGCGGCGCCGCAAATAAGGTGGACTGCCCTATTTGACTGATGTCATGCATGTTTTTCTTCCACTAACCGCCACCACCAGCCACCACTGCCGCAGCCTGTAGCCCTCCATATTTCTGCAATTCCTAGCAATTTCTCATCAAAATTTTGAATCACATGTTCAGATATTCTAATCTTATTGAACCATGAAGGAATTTTCGTTTTAATTATAGATAGATTCTTCCTTCCTATAAATATAATTGAAGTTTCTTGAAAATGATGTTTAAAGAATTAAATTTCAATATTTTATAAATATATATATTTTTTTATTATGTAATGAGTTGTTCACAAAATTATTGTGATTTTTCTTCATTTTATTAGGACGATTCCAAATAGCTATGTCCAATGTATCTGCTTAATTTCTTAGTTTTAATTTTGGTTTTTAATAAATCAAGGTGTATTTAAAAAAAAAAAAGAATTTAAATTAAATTTGAAGTGGGTCGATGAATTTCTTTTTTCTAAAAATATTTTTGACTGTTCTCATATAAAAAGAAATTAATTAATGAATAAAATAATGGAATTTTATTATATATTATTATGCGAAAATGATTAAAAACTACCTACCACCATAACACCTAACCTTAAGCATATTTAAATTTAAAAATTCAAGTATGAAAAAGAATTAGATGAGACACATTATTTATATATATTTATTTATTTAATTACTTATTAATTTCTGATTAGATTAATATATATGATAATTATTATGAAAAATTCAATCTATACAAGATTATCTGGGGAAGCATCTAATTAGCTTCTTGCAAATAAATATTTGAAAATCATATAAATAAATGAAATATTATTAACCCTTGGTTGGTCTGACTTGAAGAGACAATTTCCATAAACCAAAACTTAATTAATTACAGAAATTAACACATCTTACTTAAATTATTTGGCTGTACATATAAAAAGGAAAATTGTCTTAAACCCTTTTTTTATTTTTTTATTTTTGTGGTAAGGTGTTTCAGTCGATTTTTGTGCACCTCAACTCATTTAACTATCTGATAAATCTTCTAATGACTATCCGTATTAGGTATTGAAGAGAATCAAATTCAAAACCTTTTAAATAATACATTTAAGAGTTTCTATTATTGTACCCGATCACTTAAGGGTGGTTAAAATTGTCTAAAACTTGTTTGAAATTTCATGACATGCCAAAATAAAAACTTTATAATATGATACTACCAATCTTGCATGTATATTTTAATACTATACAGATCGAGATTTATATCCAAATTTGTAAATTTTTTTAAATTCTGAATCTAATTCAGATCTGGCAATTGGCATACAGGTTAACAAAAGCAGATCCCATTTTACTGCAATTTTATCGTATTTTATTATATTTTCCACTAATTCAGAATGAATTATTAAGAATGACTGTGTATGTGGTGGGCCAGATAGGGACCTGAAACACTGAAACTTTCAGCTTTGATCAGCTTTAATATGCACATGGATAGATGCATTATTTATCATCAAATTCAAAGCCAAGCCGCAGGATATTCCTTTATTCCTTTATTGTTTGATTATAACCATNTGCTTGAAATTTCATGACATGCCAAAATAAAAACTTTATAATATGATACTACCAATCTTGCATGTATATTTTAATACTATACAGATCGAGATTTATATCCAAGTTTGTAAATTTTTTAAAATTCTGAATCTAATTTAGATCTGGCAATTGGCACACAAGTTAACAAAATCAGGTCCCATTTTACTGCAATTTTATCTAATTTTATTATATTTTCCACTAATTCAGAATGAATTATTAAGAATGACTGTGTATGTGGTGGGCCAGATAGGGACCTGAAACACTGAAACTTTCAGCTTTGATCAGCTTTAATATGCACATGGGTAGATACAGTATATATCATCAAATTCAAAGCCAAGCCGCAGGATATTCCTTTATTCCTTTATTGTTTGATTATAACCATTCATATCTTTTCAACCCTTATCCTCTCCATTTTAGCTCTTCATTTGGTTTCCCCTTTAATTTACTCCTTGTTATGCATAATTGCATATCATCCCATGCCCATCTAATTACTAGAGCGTTGAAAAGCGATTAACCAAATTAATCGTTTTCTTGAACATAACTGATTTTTCGATTTAGAAAAATTCTTGAATCAAAATTGAACTGGTTAATCGCTTTGAAAAAATCGATTTTTCTCTTAAATTGGATTAAAATTTTTTTTTTTAAACATTTTCCTGAATTAAATTCTAAACATCAACAATATATATTCAAATAAAAATTAAACATTTATACATATCTATTGACCACAACTAACAATACATTAAAAATTGATACAAATAAATTTATTTTTTATTTTATTTTAATATATAATATCCATTAAGATGATTTTTTTTTTAATTTAATATATATATATTAATAAAACCGGTTTCGGTTAATTGGTTTGTATTTTCACCCAAATCGAAAACTATAATTGAACTAGTTTTTCAGTTTTGATCGATTTTTGCATGTTTTTGAAGACCCTACTAATAACTTATCACAAATATTTGAATATTCCAACCTTTTTGACCGCCACCACACCATTATTATCCAGTTTTATTGAGTCTTACGTGAAACAAATATTTTACTTTTTAACCGTTCTACTACAATACAATCTGTCAATAGTATGATTGAACGGCCTAATTAGTCATCAACTTTGTTACCAATTAGACTTTATAATGCATTATCAATTCACACGTAATAACTTATCAAAAAATTGACAGTCTTTGGTCCACATAGTTATTAAATCCTTACTCACTATAGTACCAAATATAACACCTACTGTATTCCACACCACACCCCAAGTTCCAAGCTGTTACTTTCATGATACGTGTCAAAAACCCATTACGTCAATCATCCGGAGATTTCTATCTCGGCCGTCATGATCCCACCACGTGGATATCATTAACTGGACTCAGAACCGTCTGATGTAATACTCAACCCCACAAAGCCTGCTATAAAACAACCGTTTCGTTCATTGAATTAAAAAGAAAAAGAAATACAAATCAAAACTCTCTCCGCCGCCTGAAGCTTTCATCAGCATCATCATAAACTCACTGATTTTGCATTTCTAGAAATACAATCACTGCAAGCCCTTTAGGGAATGCAGAGAGATGAGAGGACCTTCGCTGAGAAAGCCTGAGTTCTGTGCGCGTGCCAAACGGTGCATTGGCGGCCGGAATTGCCACCGGAAACACGTTGAAGACGGGTGATCCATTACAACATCAGCACACACCCTCCGTGTTCTCTTTTAGTTGTCTTTCTGTTATTATCAGCACTGTTCTGTACTCTTTCATATTCAGTCATATAATTTCTGTAAAATCTATTTGTTAACATGGCATCCGCGGACAACTCCAGTCCGACTTTGCTCCACGGAAAATACGAGCTCGGCCGGTTGTTAGGCCATGGAACTTTCGCCAAAGTCTATCTCGCCCGCCACCTACAAACCGGAAAGAGCGTGGCCATGAAAGTCGTGGGCAAAGAAAAGGTTATCAAAGTAGGCATGATGGAGCAAGTCAAGCGAGAGATCTCAGTAATGAAGATGGTGGAACACGAAAACATCGTCGAGCTCCACGAGGTTATGGCGAGCAAATCCAAGATTTATTTCGCCATGGAGCTGGTTCGAGGTGGCGAGCTCTTCAACAAAATCGCCAGAGGTCGGTTAAAGGAAGATTTAGCTAGAGTTTATTTCCAACAGTTGATCTCAGCCATCGATTTCTGCCATAGCCGCGGGGTTTATCACCGAGATTTGAAGCCTGAAAATCTTTTACTAGACGAAGATGGCAACCTGAAAGTAACAGATTTCGGGCTCAGTGCTTTCTCGGAACATCTGAAACAGGATGGCTTATTGCACACAACTTGCGGCACACCTGCTTATGTGGCGCCGGAAGTCATCGGGAAAAAAGGATACGACGGAGCTAAGGCGGATATTTGGTCTTGTGGGGTTATTCTATATGTTCTTCTTGCAGGTTTTTTGCCATTCCAGGACGATAATATTGTGGCCATGTATCGGAAAATCTATAGAGGAGACTTCAAGTGTCCGCCCTGGTTTTCTTCAGAAGCGAGAAGATTGATCACAAAGCTTCTTGATCCGAATCCGAATACAAGAATTTCCATCTCAAAAATCATGGATTCATCCTGGTTCAAGAAGCCGGTCCCCAAGAACATCAAATCCAACAAACATGAGTATGATTTTGAAGCTGATGAGGTAAACTATGGCGACAAATCAAAGCAGCCCGAAACGTTAAACGCTTTTCATATAATTTCTTTGTCGGAGGGGTTTGATTTGTCGCCGTTGTTTGAGGAGAAAAAGAGGGAGGACAAAGAAGAGTTGAGATTTGCCACAACAAGGCCGGCAAGTAGTGTGATTTCGAGGCTGGAAGAAGTGGCCAAAAATATGAAATTTAATGTGAAAAAGAGTGATTCAAGAGTGAGATTACAAGGCCAAGAGTGTGGAAGAAAAGGGAAACTAGCTATCAATGCTGACATATTCGCCTTAACCCCGTCGTTTTTGGTGGTGGAAGTAAAGAAAGACAATGGTGACACCTTGGAATACAACCAGTTCTGCAGCAAGGAGCTCCGGCCGGCACTTAAAGACATTGTTTGGATGTCAACCGAAAAGAACTCTACACTCGCTTGAAGAAGAAGAAGAAGAAGAAGAAAGGGGTTCATTGCAACATCAGAGATTGTTAACGATTGTGTTTAATTAAATCATTATTATTATCATTGTATATTGTTTGTTTTAATTTGAAAAAAAAAAAAAAAAAAAGTTGGAAGAGAAAAGCAAAGGCCATATGAGGGTTCTTTCTTTCATCAGATGATGTTGTTACTGTTATTGTCATTATCTTTTTGTTGTTGTGTTTGTTGTGGGTTGTGAAGAAAAATTATTGTTCTGAATTCATGCTTTCTTTTGTCTTCAATTTTCTTTTCTATTCTACCTCTCATTAAAAATTACGATCTTTTGTTGATGGGAATAACAAAATTTCTTCAAAATGAATCCAAGAAGCTAAGGGGTCATAATTCAAGGTTTGAAGTGGTACTTGAATAAATCATTCTAGCTAGCTATCATGTTTAGGTGGATTGATGGAATATGTCTTTCTTTTTTTTCTCTTTTTCTTTCTAATCTTTCTAATCTTTCATTTTAAGATGTCTTTTCTGTCTCATTATATCTTAATTAAGAAAATTAATCAAGTTCAACATTGACACATTCAAAAGTAGTAAACGTTTAAATACCTAAATTCATTTTTTATTACTTCTTCCTCCATGTTTTGCTTTACTTAATTGAATTAATAAATAAAAACCTTTCATACCAAATTTTATAAAATTACTTCCAATTGTATTTATAAACTTCGAAAATAACGTTATCCAACGCTTTAACCCTAATTTTAAATGCCCAGATTCACAAATTTAGGAAAAGCAAAACCAGAGGCTATGCTTGCAGCCTTGGAATTCTTAGAAATCCAAGCGGCTAGGCAAGTTGGAGTAGGGCCAGAATTGCTTTAAATTGATGATGATAAATCCCTATCTCTCTCTCTCTCTCTCTCTCTCAATAATTGTCCCAAATTTTCCCACGACTGACTCAACTTGTCTTCACTTACATATGCTTTTACACTTTTACTGTTTTACATGTTCATCAGATAAAATTTCCATGGCAATACTTTCATTATCCTCAAGAAATGCATAGATTTTAAAGATTTAGAATTTGGACCCTTTTGATAGTAAAAATCTCTCATATCACGCCTATCTTTTGGTGAAAAAAGAATAATATTACTATACCAATCGATAAAGTTAAGAATTTTACATGTCAACAACCCTTTGTAAAGTGGATTTACTAATCATATCTTTATATTTATTTAGTTAAAAACTTTGGTTTTTTTTTTTTTTAATGGAACCAGGGTGTTTGGGCCAATTCGTACACACCTCAACTAATCCCCGAAGTCTATTAAACATTTTACAAGTCTAAAAAACAAAGTAAGTCATAATATTATTATGGTAGGTGACTACAAAGTTTGAACCTAAAAACTCAAGGAATAAAATAAATTTCCTTGACCATCACGCTAACCCCTTGAGGTTTGATAACAAAAATTTCGGTGTCACGTTCATCTTTTGTCGAGAAAGAATATTGTGACCCAATTGCACGGTGCAATTGGGAGAAGTCTTGCTCCTATTGATCAGAAACTTATTGACCACAACCAATTGTGGTCCTCATGAAAATTGGTAAAGTGGAGCTATCCAAAAGCTAGCTAGTGTATTAAATTGGAGGGCTTGGGGCACATGCTCAAAGCCATTGTTACTGAGAAAGTGTTTTTAGGAATTGTTTTTGGTGTTGCTAAATTTTGAAAATGAAAGAAACACCTTATAATCAATTGAACAAAGAGAGAGAGAGAGAGAGAGAGAGAGAGAGAGAGAGAGGGGAATTCTTGTGAAGTTCGGAATAAGACATTGCTTAGACAGAAACAAAAAAATATGGTTCATGTGAATAGGAATCTATCATTCAGCTGATTTTGTCTTGTTTAATTTCAATTTGATCTTCAAGCACATGGATACTTTGGCATCATCTTCCTTCATTTTTATGAGAGTTCTTAATTAGCTTGAAAAAAATCAATCTATTTAGATTATTTAGATGGGCATTGATTATATTAGAGGTATAGAGTAAAACTTAATCAACTTCATCAATTAAATTATCAATAAAAATCATTAGAAAAAAACTTTCCCTAGTGTTAGAAGTTATATTTGTCTACATCGTCAATTTGATAGACTGTTATAGTGTATATGTATGGTTGAACTTTCTTATCTCTTGAGTTAGCTTTTGAGAGCGAGTTCTACTAAAACCCGTTTGTCATGGAATCAAAGCCACGTCCCCTGGCCCTTATGCTCACGATCTCACATATCCAAACCTGTTTATCATTTGGTTTTACATACATCTATATTATGAAAGACTTTTCTTTTTTTTTTTGGTAGTAAATTGATAGTAATACCTACGAGTGTTTGATAACATTTCATATTTTCGAGTCTATGTTATTAGTAGATTATTGTACTTATAACCTGATTAACGGCGAAACTAATTGAGTTAATTTTGATAACTTTCATTGTTGTTGCACATACATCATAAACATGGTTTAGTACTAGTTAATTGCATATCTAATTGGTAGTAATTAATTACATATATAATTAACTAATCTTGATGATGCAATCAATACATAAATAAAAAAATATAAAAAAATCATGGGCTACAAATTCAAGAATATTGTTTCAAATTTGGAAGTGTTACTATAAATAGAAATCCTTATCTAATTCTTGACAATCGGATACTGCTGACATTTAAAAAACATATAACATATAATATTATATGAAATTCAAGATATATTAGATATATACAAGGACTCCTAGGTTATTTATTTATTTTTTATAATAAGGTGTTTGGACTAGGTTACGTATACCTTAACTAATTATAAGATTCATTGAATACCTTACAAACTCAATGGATCAGATACCACTTTGTAGGACTCGAAACATAAAATCTCTGGGTAACCCACCCAGATGGCCAAAGTCTTGCCATTTGACTACAAACCAAGTGATTAATTACTCTTTATTAATATATTAGCCATACTGATTAAATTACTTAATTTGGTTAATTGTAAAGATTAATGCATTACTTGTACAAAAACATTAATCATGCCCAAGATACATGTAAAATCCATATTGTAAAATTACCAATTCATATGGATTATTATTTCCTTAATCTCTAATAACATCATTTTTTATTGTAATTAAAGCATAATTATGGTTATCGGGTCCTAGTGACGGGGCGGTCCATATTCATACAAGAAAGATTACAAACTATATAATTGTGATTAATAATTTCAACCATGTTATAATGATCGATTATCTAATTTTGGTTTAAAAGAATGATAAGGTATGAGAAATTTGTAATTATATATTATTATTATTATAATTATTATTGTATGACAAAGGGAATCCTACCTAATTAGTAATTAGTCTAGTATTATATTTAAATCATTGCAAGAGAGGACAAGATTTTCCTTTACTATTTGTTTAACTTAAGGGTGATGTTGATTAACCAAAGTGGGACCAGGTGATCAGTGCCTTAATTAATTTTGATTTGGGTTAACGTAGGGGTGAGCATGGATAATAGGTAGAACCGGAAATGACACTGTGCAAGTAGGTTCCGATTCCATTTTTTTGGAATCGACATTGTGCGATTCCAGTTTCGGTTTCTACATGTGGAGGAATCGAAACCGGGAAAAAAGAACCTATTGCGGGTACCTAGCTTGGAACCTGTAACGGGTACCCTGTTTTGGAACCTGGGCTGAAATAAATTATCTGTGAAGAATGGGGGGTCCATTGTATTTTTACATATAAAAAAATTAAAATGAAAAAAGTTAAATTTTTACAATAACCTAATTAAATAAATATATACTTATTACATATAAACTACACCATATAAAAAACTTTAATATATTAATATTAAAGTTTTGATTCATTAAGTATATAATTGGAATTAGGACCAATTAAAAGTATTTCAATGTTATTAAAAGAGTTATTTTTGAATAAAATAGTATATTTGATTTAATAATAATATAATATTTAGTTATTTACTTCAATTATCAAATTCTAAGTATATCTGTAATTAATTAGTAATTAATTAATTATATAAAATAAATTAATGAACATTGATACATTACTAGTTAAATGATTATTTAATCAATTATAGCATTATATTATAGTTAAATAATTATTTAATTAATTATAAGTTTATAACATTACATTAGTAATTTAGTATATTACTTAATTAATTATAATATTACATTATAAAAAAAAAAAAGATTACTTAATTAATTATAATATTTCATTATAAATATTAGTACAATAAATATTTATAGTATAATTACTTAATTTATTATAACATTACATTACAGGATGATCACATAATTAATTATAACATTACATAACTAAATGATTACTTAATTAATTATGAAATTATATTATAAACATGAGTAATTTAATACATTAGGACATTACTTTATTAAATTATTATAAATTTAATTAATTATAATATTACATTATAAATTTATAGTATGATTACTTAATTAATTATAATATTACATTATAGTATGATCACATAATTAATTATAACATTACATAATTAAATGATTACCTAATTAATTATGATATTATATTATAAACGTTATTAATTTATTACATTAGGACATTACTTAATTAAATGATTATAAATTTAATTTATTATAATATTATATTATAAATTTATAGTATGATTACTTAATTAATTATAACATTATGTTATAAACAGATGATTACTTAATTAATTATAACATTCCATTATAAATTTCGTACAATACTTAATTAAATGATTAGAAATTTTATTAATTATAATATTATATTAAGATCTATAGTAAATTACTTAATTATTTAACATTACATTAAGTATGGTCACATAATTAATTATAACATTACATTTGAAATGATACTTAATTAATTATGACATGATATTATAAATATATTATTTTTACTTAGCACATATCTAATAAATGATTAGAAATTTAATTAATTATACATTACATAAAATTTATAATATAATTACTTAATTACTTATAACATTCTTCATAAATATTAGTACAATACTTAATTAAATGATTAGAAATTTAATTAATTAAAACATTACATAATTAAATAATTACTTAATTAATAATACATCATATAATATCATAATCGCCTATTATTATAACATATATAGTTAAATAATTACTTAATTAATTATAAATTATAACGTTACATTATAAATATTAGTATGATTAAAAATTTAATTAATTATAACATTACATTATAGATTTATATAGATTACTTAATTAATTATAAT